GTGGAGGATTTTTTACTTTTGTTTTTTTACAATGTGTATCTTATTTGGGAGGGAGTCAGACCACTGCTTGTCACTCACTTCGTGGTATTTTCAGAGTCTCAGCCTCTTCGCAAGGATTTCTCAAGCATTTCATTTGAGAATCATACAATACAGACCAGTTATTGGCTTTTCCTTCAAGTTTCCTTCTTTAATGACTCGGTGGTCCTCGAAGAAATCTGAGAAATTTTCATATTCTAAGTGAGATTTTGCTTGAAAGTAATTTTCTCTGAGGTCAAAAAGGATGAATACTGACATGAAACATAGAAAGTAGAATTGAGTAACACCTGGGATTTGAAAATGAAAGGGCACAGAGTGCCAGGCAGGGGGCAAGCTGAGGGTTCTCACTACAGTGCTTCAATCCTAAGATGCCACGGAATGGTCTCTTACAGCCCTTTATGGACTACGCAGAAAAACAGACTGCTAGCTCAACTGTCACATGCTGTCAGTTTCAAGCAGTAAAACTATAATCTCAGAATCAGTAAAGTGTGGTATCTGGAGTAATTATAAGTAAGTTTTTTAAAAATGATTTTTATGATGAATTACATAGACTTAAAAGTTCAAAAACCTACCTTAAAAAGGGTAAGTTACTTTTCTATGCTTAGTAGGAGTTCAAATCCTTGAATGATAAAGCCATTTAGAGTCTTATTCCAAGGTCCTGCTGACAGAGCCTGATGTCACGATTTCCATGACATCATCTTGTAACTTTGTAAAAGGCTTTTCCCTTTCCCTTCTCCTCTATCCAGGGCTGGTGCGGATGGAAGGGTCCAGACTTTTGGAACAAGGATGCATACTATAACTTATGTCTTCCTCAGCGACCAAATATGATTTAAAATATCTTGGAGTCAAAGACTGCAGTAGACTGGTATTATAAATTTGTGAATAAAGAATCAGTTTAATTTCACCTTAAATCCTGGTTCTAGTTTGACGGTTTAAATTGTGACCTTTTTCAAAGCTTGTAAATACTGCACGGAGAATGTATTTTTTAGACATTCCTTTAATAAAACTTAAAAGACAAAGCATACACAACCAGCATGTTATAGGCATGTAAATACATGTGTTCTTAAATGGATCTTCACTTGGAAGAAAGTTTTTCCTCCTTCTCAGAAGGAGTTTAGACACACATATGGTAAAGCCAAAAGCAGGAGCTTATAGATCTGCATGAAATGAGGGCGTTCTTCAGACTTCTTCATGACCCACGTGACATCTGTTTTTAAAAAAACATGCTGACGTTAAAAACTTTTTTTAAAAAAATGAGTTTTATCCCCAACTTCCACCATGCAGGCCCATTTTTGGTCCCTAGACTCATATAACCAATATTAAGATGTTAATGAGAATGAAACACCACTACTAGAAATAAGAGTGTCAGTATTAAATGGAATAATAAATGCTATGCAAATGAGATCAATTGCTGAGGGAGGAAAACAGCAGCTCTGAGTTACTTACCCACACTTCCTTTTCCCACTGATACTTCCTACACTTCCAAAACTTCGCTTCTGTCTGAGCACAGGAACACGGTCATTCCTGTCCGAGTGTTCACTTGGTTTTATTGTCTGCATGCATTTAATTGTTGTAAGAAACTTGGCACAGTCTGGAAATCCACATGACCAAGCGAGATCTTCAGCTGTTTGCCCGTTCTTATTACATAAACTGAAATATGATAAAAATTGAGTTAAATGAAAAACTGAACTTAAGTCTTTTTTAAAATATCTTACAAGGGAATTTTGGGCTCATACAAATGTTGACTGCAGAACAGAAGAGGTAAAGGATGCGTAGGGAAATCGCATGTTTGGTCACTATTGTATCGTCAGCAACTACCAGAATCCAGCATAGAGTGGACATTCCAGTTCTGAATGAATGTAAGAATTATTTGATGTTTAATACAGTGCATGAGTACCCAAAGGTAGTCAGTGAGAACTACAGAATGGGTTTTCCTAAACTGAAACTGAAGTAGAATACAGTCATCATGAACAAAATTGCACCTCTGATTGCTCAGGATCTGACTTTTTACTGACTCGAACAGAGTATTATTAGACAGCACCAACAACCTAAGTTAACATTTAAATGATTAACACTAAATTATCAATTAGGCAAGCATTATTTTTAAAAGCACATGTAATTAAGGTTTAGGAGTCTGATTAGTTTAATCCAAGGAAACATGAAATGTGAAGCCACTGTTTTCATACTCACTCAATTTGGGCATCACTGGCTACAAGCAGGCTAAGGCACTCCAGGCTTCCAACTTTTGCTGCCTTGTGTAGTGGAGCTTCTCCTAAAACATCCTTAAGGTAAGACAGTACATTTTAGAGTCTCCCAAAAATACTTTTTGTGGAAGATGGTGAGTGACATCTAATATTAGCCATTTAAGGAAGCTAGTTAGAATTGCATTGTACTGGATGGAATCTTTTTTTTTTTTTGGGCAGAGAACACAAACACTTTTCGTGGGTTTATTTTGTTAATATTCATTCTCAGTTCAGGTTTTGGGTTTGTTTTCAGAAATGAGAAGTCTTAAGTCACTTTAAGATTAAGAAGTAATGTGTTTTTGATACATATAAATGTGCATCAACATCTATTCTAATTAAAAACTATTGATAATTGTTTACAAGTGCAAGATTTCAGGAATGCAGAATTAATTTAAATAACTAGTGGATTATTATAACTTCAACATTCTAGCATATGCTCTGAAATGATTATCATTCATTCCTTTATTTAGATCTTCTAGATACTTTTAGTGATTACATTAGGGATAGCCAACTCCCTGGGCTAATTTGAAACATAGGAATGTACTATGCTCGCATATTCATTTCAGTATGGAACCTTCTGAAAATCTCCTCCTTTGGACTGAATTTTTTACTTCGAGCTTTTCATTTTTTTTCCCTCGGTAAGCTGTAAAAGCTTATTTTTGATAAGTTAGTTTGCTTTTTCATACCGTTTTCATTAATAAAAACGTGTGGCTGGGCGTGGTGGCTCACTCCTGTAATCCCAGCACTTTGGGAGGCAGGCGGATTACCTAAGGTCAGGAGTTCAAGACCAGCCTGGCCAACATGGCGAAACCTCGTCTCTAATAAAATACAAAAATTAGCCAGGCATGGTGGCGTGTGCCTGTAATCGCAGCTACTACAGAGGCGGAGGCAGGAGAAGCTCTTGAACCCAGGAGGCAGAGATTGCAGTGAGCCGAGATTGTGCCATTGCACTCCAGCCTGGGTGACAAGAGCAAAACTCCGTCTCAAAATAAATAAATAAAAACGTGTAGCCATATCCACATACATTAAAATGTAAGCAAATAAAAACAGAGTTCTCCCAGAAAAGTTTATCAATATTCAACGGAAGATGAAAACTACAGTAAGAAAATTCTTTAGGAAATTAGAATGCTTGTGGACATAGCTCACAAGTATTTGAATTGCTGCCGGGAGACTTAGTAATGTAGCAATTACTTCTTTTGAAATAAACTAGATCTGTGCTGTTCAATATGAGTCAATAGCCACTTAAGGCTAGAGTATCTGAAATGTGGCTAGTCTGATTGGAGATATGCTGTCACACCGGATTGTGAAGACACAGAGTAAAAGAAAATGTAAAACATCTAATCAGCAATTGCTTTATGTTGATTACATATTGAACTGATAATATTTTGGACAAATTGGGTCAAATACTAAAATTCCATGTTTATTAATGTGGCTACCTAAAAACTTGAAATTTCTCATGTCCTCACATCAAGACTGGAAAAAAATTTTAAATTACATCTGTGTCTTGCATTCTATTTCTGTTGGACATCGCTGCTATAGAGCTGAAGCAACTCTCGGCGTCTGAGAAATGTTTGTTTGGATCTGGGCTGGAGGGGAGGGCTGTGCACAGCAACAATCAGTTACCTAGTTACCTGTTGGTTGAGGTCAGCGCCCGTTTGCAGCTGCCAGAGAAGAAAGCAAGCAAGGCCGCTTCCTGCGGCTAAGTGGACAGGCGACTGCTCGCAGGGATCCGGGGGTGCGTTGACCGAGGCTCCTGTCTCCAGCAAATGCTTCAGACCATCCACCTGCGGGAAGAGAACAGATCCAGCACCTCTCTCACCTTTGTCCCGTCCCGCGCCCCTCCGGGCTGGAAATCTCACCCTTCACAACCAGCTCTGACCAGGCGAGACCAGGCAGCGCCCAGTGGTCAGTCCCCGCGTTCCCGAGAAGACGCGTCTGGAAACTTGAGCCTGCAGGACGAAAGCTCACCTCGGGGTTGCAATCCAGCAACAGCATTTCCCGCCTAAGGCAGATGACAAGAGTCCTCGGAAGCGCAGAGCGGTGGGACGCTCGCCGCACCGCGGCAGGTAAGAGTGCGCACGCCGGCCCCAGCACGGGAGAATTTAAAGACCGCTGGGACTTGCGGGCCGGCCCTTGGCAGCCGCGCCCCAG